TGGGGAGTACAGCCCCCCCCCCCGGCCTGCCTCCCCTGTCCAGAGTCCAGAGGCTCTCTGCACTGTTCACTTGCCCAGAGTCACTGGGGCTGGGTGGAAGCCAGGTGTCCTGCCCTGCCCAATCCCAGCCGATCCACCCCTGTACGAGCTGCCCCCCCGCCAGGAAGGGTCATGGATCCGGGTCAGTGGACCGCCGACAGCCTCAAGCACTGTCCCCTGCCCACCAGGTCACAGATCTGGGTCCCAGACCATGGACAGCCTCAAGCACTGCCCCCGGTCCAGCAGGGTCACAGATCCGGGTCCCAGGACAGCGGACAGCCTTGCCCGCTGCCGCCCACCTTCAGTATGCAAATTAGCCACCATCTTGTTGCTTCAGGGTGGGGGTCCCGCTTGGGTGCCTGGCCAGCCTGGATGAGGGGATGATGGCTATTTGCAGCTGGTCACACCCCATTCAGGGTGGCGGGGCCCCACTGGGTTGCCTGGCCAGTCTGTGTGAGGGGCTGAGGGCAGTTTTCAGGCTGGTGGTCTACTGAAGCTCCCAACCTCTCTGTTTTTTCTTTCTTTTTTTAATTCTGGGATTTATTTACCTTCTATGGCTGTCACTTGAGCTGAGAGCCGGCTTCAGCTCTGAGCTCAGCTCCAGCTCTGATACCTCGGCTGCTGAAGCTGATTAGCCATTGGGAAGGGTAGCGAAGTTATGGTTAATTACCATGTTTCTCTATTATTACATAGGATATATATATATATAGAGAGATGTAATGTCTGGTCACTGGGTTGTAAAAAAATAATATAAACTTTAGATTGTTTTTACCATGCTATTATTTCTCAGGATGTATCTTTCATCTTTCAATAAGTAATCTAGGATTCTCTTAAAACCCAAATAATATGAAACAATTTGGTGAGAATCAGGTATTCCTAAGATAAGAGATTTTTATTAAAAAGTTTTATGTGGTGATCATATGAATAATGAGATAGGCCAGAGTGACACAGATTAAAACTGAAATGTAGCAGATGATATACTGTATATAGAGAATCCTAAATATCCCACCAAAAACTATTGAACTGATAAATGAATTCAGTAAAGTAGCAGGGTACAAAATAAATATCTAGAAATCAGTTGCATTTTTATATACCAATAATGAACAAAAATCAGGTGTATTTTTATACATCAATAATGAACTATCAGTAAGAAAACAATCCTATTTACAATTGCATAAAAATTTACCTAGGAATAAATTTAACCACATACACAAAAGATCTATACTTGGAAAATTATAAGACACTGAGGAAAGAAATTGAAGAAGATACAAATAAGTGGGAGATATACCACGCTCATAAATAGGAAAAGTGAACATCATTAAAATGTCCATAGTACCCAAAGCAATCTGTAAAACTATCAAGATACCAATGGTGTACTTCACAGAACTATAATAAATATTCCAAAAATGTATATGGAACCACAAAAGATGCCAAATTGTCACAGCAATCTTGAGAAAAAAGAACACGGAGGAATCATGTAACCTGATATCAAACTATACTACAAGGCCATAGTAATCAAACCAACATGGTACTGGCATAAAAACAGACAAAAATCACTGGAACAGAATAGAAAACCCAGAAATAAAACCACACCTCTATGGTCAATTAATATTTGACAAAGGAAGCACAAACATACAATGGGGTAAGACAGTCTCTTCAATAGATGGTGTTGGGAAAACTAGAAAGATAATGCGCAAAAAAAGAAATGAAATTAGACCACCTTCTTACACCATACAATGATGTGAATTTCCACTTATCTCTTACTTTTCTTTTTCTGACCTCAAGGCTCAAGGTCCTGGCTTCTGATTACAAGACATGTTTCCTTATCGTCTCCGCACCCTTCTCCGTTTATACAGCTCCTCATGCCACCATTTCCTCTATCCCGGAGATTATGGATAAGAACTATTATTTTGAAAAGTGGGTGATATTTGGCAAGGTAATTTACCTCACTAGGTTTCAAGAAGATGATTATTTCAAAAGATTTTTTGAGGATGTACCTGAAACTCTAGTACAGTATATGACTAAGAATAAACACTCAAAAAATGGCATAGGCCACAGCACTATTAGTGCCATTATCTTATCTTGGTTAACATTGATATTGAGTTGGCTCAAGACCATCCCTGGATCATAGGGAATGGTGACTAAGATTAGTGTTTCCATCCTGATTTGCAGCAGTTGCCAGCAGTAAGTCTTAGAATGAGGAAGATAGAGAAAAAAATTGTAGGCAAGGGCACCAAGGAGAGTATTCTAGGGCAGGCACATAGCTACCTATTTATATGTAAGAAAATGTCTAAATTTGACACTGTTTATAGAAACATTCCACTTACTAATGGTAGGACTTTATTTTATGTTTCAGTACACAATTCCCAAACCTGGAATTGATTAATGAAACCTGAGGTAGAAGATTGTCACTCTCTACCAAAGCTACAAAGTTTATGTTTCTTCTAGGGCCTTCATTAGCACTTGACTGACTCTTATTTATCATAAGGCCTTGATGAAATTGATTATCTGATTTTGTAGACTAGAGAAGATTATGAGCAACAAATTCTAATAGTCTGGTTATTAAAGGAAAGTGTGGTGATAGCTGACAATCTAAAGAAGAATAATAGAAAAACAATAGGTATAGGATGATATCACTTCATGAAATAATAATGGGTACTCATGACAAGAAAGAGAAGTTTAATCCTTTGCATCAGAGGTTAGAGAACCAATAGTAATAAATTTTAGAAAAATGATTATAAAAATATTTCTAAAAGTTCTCATGTAGTTATAAAAATATAGAAACTTCTTTTATTTGAAAAATTTAGTTGAATTGCATTACCTTCTAACATACTAGATCAGTGGTTCTCAACTTTCTGGCCCTTTAAATACAGTTCCTCATGTTGTGACCCAACCATAAAATTATTTTTGTTGCTACTTCATAACTGTAATGTTGCTACTGTTATGAATCGTAATGTAAGTATCTGATATGCAGGATGGTCTTAGGCGACCCCTATGAAAGGGTCGTTCGACTGCCAAAGGGGTAGCGACCCACAGGTTGAGAACCGCTGTACTAGATGAATGAAGCATTTTCTGCAGGTTTTGTCAAGAGTGTATGGTCTTGCTTCTCTAGTTTATATTAATAATAATTATTTGATGATTTCTCATCCATAATAATTAGTATTTTTCCCTACCATCCACAAAATTCTTTGTCCGATGCTACTCTGGGGATGTGTTTTTAGAAGCTCAACTGCCTTTTCTCTTTCAATTAGGTATATCATTAATAAAGGGCATATGAACTTCTTTCAGTAATGAAGAACACAAAGGTTGTATCTATAATGAATCATGAATTAATTTTTTATTAAAATATATCCCAAAGTGTTTTAACATCCAGGAAACACAAGAAGAGATGCACAAACATCATTAATCATTAATGAAATGCAAACTAAAACTATGAGATATTACTTCACACCCACTAGAATGGCTATAATAACAACAACAAAAAAACAGTCATGAAGATATAGAGGAACTAGAACCATCATCATGCATTGATAGTGGGAATGTAAGGTGCTATAGTCACTTTGCAAGGCAGTTAAGCAATTTCCTAAAAGGTTAAGTATAAATTTACCATATAAGTCATCAATTCCACCCCTAGGTAGCAATGAAACATATGTCCATATAGATATCTGTATGTGAATGTATTATGCATAATAATCCAAAAGTGGAAGCAACCCAAGTGTTCATCACCTGATAAATGGATAAACAAAATATGGTTTATCCATACAATGGAATACCACTATGCAAAAAGAGAAACAAAGTACTGATATTCATTAAGACACAGATGAATTGTATAACTATGCTAACTGAAAGAAATCAAACACTAAAGAACACATATTGTATGCTTCTATTTTCATAAAATGACCAGAAAAGGCAAACCTATTAAGATAGAAAGTAGATTGATGTTTGCCTGGGGCTTGAGGTGAGCATGGGATCTTTGAGGTGATGGAAATGTTCTAAAATTGGGTTGTAATAATGGTCACATAACTCTAAATTTATTAAAAATCATTAAATTGCATGCTGAAAGCAAATGAATTTTATGATAAATAATGGTTTTTAATAAGGTATCACCATTTTACAGGTGAGAAATGTGAGGGACAGAGATATTCTCAATTACCCAGGACAATGAAATTGGTAAATTGCAAAGATCAGATTCAAGAGCAGAAAACTTCTAAACTCCAATTCATACTCTTCCCAATACACCTATTAGTACTTATTAATAATTAGCACCCACATGAAAACTTTTGTTCAATCAGTTTAGTTCAACAGAATGAGCACAGAAAAAGTGATCCAACAATTTTTGGCGACTTTGCTTGCCTCAGTGACTAGTTTGGACCTGACTTAAAAACATGTTAAAATCATTTAGATTATTACATGTTTTTTTTTTATTTGAACACCCTGGCATCTATCATACAGATTTAAAGAGTAACAACATTTTCCCAAAGAATGTTTTCTAGATGGGTGTTCTCTTAAAGTCAGTATATTACACTGCAAGCTATGTTTCACAGCTTATAATTTTCTCCACATAAATATGTTCTAAATTAAATTATTTTGTTTTGAATAATTTATGAGTGAAAAAGAAAGCATATTTAGTCAGTAGAGAAAAATAAGGAGTGGGAATTTATTTTAAGCATTTTAGAATATGTTATATTAGTCAACAGATGCTCATCTGACTGTCTTCTCCTAAGAGAGCAAATATAACTAAGTTACCATTCCTTTATTAGCCTTCATGAAAGGAATATCCACTCTACAATAGAGAATGCTATCAAAAGACAACAGTAAAATGCTTTATTTTTCCTCTTAAATTTTTAACCGTATACTTATAAATGTTAAATGGCAATTTTTTAATAGTTAGAAACAAAATAAAACTACAGAGTATTTTTATTTTTTGGTGACTGCTGAAGCAAAAACAAAATTTCTCTTACCATCCTGTTGATCCTTACAAAGTCTTCAGGTTTTTTTGCCCAAGGGGGGAGATCAACATTATTTATCACCACTTCATCTTCTCTGACTCCAAGACTATATCCATTACTGTTGACAAACATCTCTGGTAGGTAATAGAACTCTGGAATCAGTTCCTGCCGAAAATAAAAATGTAGCATATTAAACCACTTTAAAAATCAGTTGAATAACACTATTAATTTATAATTTAACTAAATGGAATTAAATACTTTATTTAAATCTAATATTTTATTACTTTATTTTATTCTTAATTTAATTTTATTTAGATAAGAATCTAGGAAGACAAACATTTTTCTGGAATTTGCTTGATAAGTTATTTTTATAAGATTTTCAATCTTTTCTTGCCACAAATTAGTTAAGAGAAATGAGTTATAAAATCAATAATAGTTTACAATAGCATTAGTAAAGAAATATATAAGGCTATATTTACAAGTCTATGCTGTTTAGTAAACTTTGCTGAATATTATTAATGAAATATTTAAATTAAAAACAAGTTTTTGCCAGTATTGGTTAAAAATCATGTCTCCTACTATTTTTCTGACTATAGTGGCAATTACAATGCATAATTTCTATAAAGAGATTCAGTTTTATTTTTTAATTTTGCAAAATAAGTTATTTTTATACACACTAAAAACACAGTGGGTATAAAGATAATATGCAGCATAATAAGTTTTTTAAGTTTTTTTAAAATTTTGTTTTATTGCTTAAAGTATTACAAAGAGTATTACATATGTCTCTTTTCTTTTCCCCTTAACCTTACCCTGGCTTCCTTTAACCCCCAGTGTCTTGTGTCCATTGGTTATGCTTATATGCATGCATACATGTCCTTGGGTTGGCAGGTGGGGGGGAGGGGTAAGAGATCAGCATAATAAGTTTTACATGTTTAATACATGACACCTGAATAGTAAGTTCTTAATAAATTAGATGCAAAGAAAACTTGTGTTACCTGCATATAAGAAAGATATTCACAAGTGGAATCAAGGCAATTGTGGTTGATGTACAAAGTCTAACGTGTGGTTTTTGTCACTTCAGAATAAATCTGATATCAAAATGAACTGATTTTGTGACCCTAAAAGTTTTTATTTGTTGTGCTTTTTTAATATATAGCAATTGAAGAAAATGAAAACAAAAAAATCCCACTGAAGTTGTTATGTTTACCATCTATACCATGAAAAAAAATACTGATCTTTTCCAATAACAAGATGAGAATTAAATTAACTTTAAAATATATTGTGAAAAACATAAGGACGTTTATTTGTGTGATATAATCAAACCTCACTTGGTCTTGTCTAGTGATAAATATCAAATTTTTAAAGACTACCAGACACTAAGGTCTTCAAATAAATTGGATTCTTAAGCCCCCCACTCTCCTCCCAAAAATCATACACAAAAGCTTTCAGTCAAGATGATAGAGTAGCTAAACTGAGTACTCACCTCCTCCAACAACCACATCAAAATTACAACTAAACTACAGAACAACCGTCATTAAGATTTACCTGAAATCTAGCTGAACAGAAGTCCTATAGCTAAGATATAAAGAACAAGCCCCATAGAGATTGGTAGGAAGGGCAGAGATGCAGAACAAGCCAGTCCACACCGAAGTGTGGCAGTTAAAAATCAGGAAGGTTATCTCAGATGTGGCAGTTCCCCCTGAGGAGCGAGGGGTCCCAGCACCACACCCAAATCCCCAGCCCAGTATTCTAGTGCCAGGAAGAGAAGTCTTCATAACAACTGGCTATGGAAAACCAGTGGGATTGTGGCTGAGTGAGAAAGAAGGCTACTGAAGTCCAAGGAGTTTTTTTTTTTTTAAAGGCCAAAGCACAGACTTACTCAAACTCATTCTCTCTGAGCTCTAGTGCTAGGCCAGCATCTTTAAAGGTTCCAGGGACACATGGTGAGGAATTTAATTGTCAGGCATCAGGGTAAGAGCTGGAAGGGCAGCTTTCTTTCAGACAGAAGTGCTCACAGAAACCATTGTTCATTTGCTGAGCCCTCCCTGACAGAGCCTGCAGGCAGGTCCCATATCTGAGTGTCTGTCAACCTATCTAATAGTGTTTACCCTACTCTAGTGATTCCCTAAGACCCTATTGCACACAACTAGCCGGCCCACACAAGCCATTTCCAGAGGTTTTTCCATACAAATGACCTGTCTTGACGCATGCTTCAAACTTTTTAAAAATTTCTCAAACAAGCAGCTTCTGGCCTCTGTATATCCCATACCTCTTGCTAAGTGGAAACCCTCCTTGGGTTGAAGCTTGGCTTCTCCCAGGCACCTCAAAGTCCAGCAGAAGTAGCAGCCATCTTCAGATCACTCTATAGCTCATGCCAGGTGGCCTTGGGCAGGGTATAGGCAGAAGCGGACCTTGGCCTGTACCTCCTGTGAAGCCCCAGATCCAGTGCACCTGGGAGACAGCTTCAGACCACACTGAAGCACCACACAACTACCTCCATGAGTGACACACTCAAGGGGTGGACTCAGTGAACACCAGAGCTGTGCTGAAGAGAGTCTTGCTCCATCGTGTAGGCCTCTACATTGTAGATCCATATCAGTAGTCCAGGACAGTCCCTGCAGCCAATGTACCTGGGGGTAAATCCCTCCTATGTGACAATAGCAACAGAAGCTCAACTACAACAGCAGGGTGTATACAGCCCACACTGGGTGTACCTGTAGTTCCCAGGGAGGCTGTGCCACTGGGCCCTACAGGATACCTACTACATAAGACCACTCTACTAAGAACGGGAGATATAGCAACTCTACCTAATACATAGAAACAAACACAGAAAGTCAGCCAAAATGAAGAGACAAAGAAACATGTCACTAATGAAAGAACAGAACACAACTCTCCCCCTAAAACTAAACAAAATGAAAACAATCTACCAGATGCAGAGGTCTAAACACTGCTTATAAAAATGTTCAATGAGAAAAAAGGGAAAATGGCAGAGGTGTAGATGGATGTGTCCCGTGCCTTGTCCCGGAGCTGTTAGGGTGAGCAGCTGAAGCAGGTAATATACAGCCCGGATACACAGAGGATATTCAGTTGAGAGTTTGCAGCCGGGAACAGCGGAGGAATCCTTGAGAAAGCGGATTGAAAGTTGGAGACTGGGGCTGAAATCTCTCCAGGAGTGCCGGCTCAGCAGCAGAGACCACACCATCTTGAGTGGCTGCTTTTTGGAAACATATACTGTACACCCAAAGACCCAGCATCCAGAGATCGGCTGCTAACCCGGAGACACCGGATCTGGGACAGCGTGACTACGTGGAATCCTGCTTCTCACAGAAAGGTCAGGTCTCGCCTGAAGGTGCTGTTGGCAATTCAGGTTGGGGAGAGGAGTGTGCGCAGGAAGGTCTGTGCCCCACAAAGACCGCGGCCTTTGGGGCCAGTGTGATCCGTGAGTGTGGAAGAGCTCCCACAGGGCTGTTGACAGAAGGGAACGCTTAAAATTAGCGCATAGCTGGACTGGATGCAAAAAGGCAACCTAATTTTTCCAGTGTGCAGTCTATTCAATGTAAGAAGAGAGAGGGCCCGCAGAAGAGACTGCGTGGGCTGGAAGGTGCAGGGTTGTGCAACTCCGCAAGCTCTTGCTTTTTGTTGTTGTTGTTTTTGCTTATTTCTTGTTTCTTTTCTCCTTAAATATTTGCGTTTGATTATTAAACCCAGTGCATGGGATTTCCCAGTTGGGGACACTCTCAGAGACTGCAGGGGAAAGTTGTCTTTGTGGAATCTGGGAAAGAGCAGGGTAATGATTAAAGAACCAGCTCTGGGCAGTGGACTTCCTCAAACCAGTTTTAAGTGCAATAGAGAAAATAAAGCCCATCTTTTGGATAGAGAGGCCGTATAGCCTCGGAGGTCAATCCAGAAACACTGCCACCTAGAGGCTGAGCCACAAACTGACTCTTAGGTAAATACAAATTAAGACACACTGGGAAACAAATACGGCCTGCTTTAAAATCAGGACTGTGGTTTACAACACAGAGGAACAGTGTATCGCATGGAAATTCAACACTCTCCTGAATACCTGGCAGGACTAAGGCGAGCCAGACTGAAGAGTAGAAGAACCAAAGGACCTTCACTACTGCAAAACACTTTTCCTACTTATATATCCTATTTCCAATCCATTGCTCTAAATCCTTATACACCTCTCCCTTATCTTTCTTCACTATCCAATTTTTTTTTCTTCGTTTATCTTTCTATTGTTTTGTTGCTGTTTGCTTGATTGTTCAGTATATTGGTTTTTTTTGTTTGTTTTTTGTTTTTTAGGATTGGTTGTGAGGTTGTTTTGCTTTATCTTTTTATCTTTTTCTGCTGGTCTTTCCCCTCCCTCCACCATCCTCACCCCCTCCCCGCCCTGGTTATTTTTGTGCTTCTGTTTTCCCTTGCCTCACTTGATATTATTGGTTGTATATAGTTTGCATTTATCTCCAGGGATCTGTTGCTGGAATTTGTTGGGATTAGTGGTGGCTCTATCAGAGTTTTCTCCTCATATGAATAGTCTCTTCCCTTCTTCTACTTCATTCTCTCTTTTCGCTCTTTTTTTTTCTTTTTTCCCCCTCCTTTTTCCCAATTTCATTTTTGCACTCTTATTTTCCTTATTTTTTTTCTTTTTTCTCTTTTATCTTTTTCTCTTCTTTCTCCCGTATCCCCTAATTCTCTTAATTCGGGTGGTCACCTTTATTTGGGGTTATTAATATCGTGAATATATTTGTGTTTAGTGCCTGGTACGCGGTGCCTTGTTGTGTTGTATTTTGTGCCCTTAAATCAATGCAGCAGATCCAAGCAACAGCAACTTCCTGAGCACCATACACTCTGCTAAGAAACAGCAGCTGCACGTGAAACCGCCCCCCACCAGCCAGAAGAGCCACCACAGCTGTGAACAGCACCCACCAGTGGAGCTGCTGCCAACTGATCACCATAGCCTCTGTCTGAGGAACAGCAGCTCTACATGAAGCCTCCTCCAACCAGCCAGAAGAGCCACCACAGCTGTGAACAGCACCCACCAGAGGAGCTGCTGCCAACTGAGGAGCAGCTGCTACCGCAACTGTCTGAGGAGCAACCACAGCCCGAGGAGCCACTGCTACCCAGGGAGCAGCCACTGAACGACTCAAAATCTAGATATG